CTTCACCAAAGTGAAACCCATCATGGACATGGACTTTTGAAAAAATTTGTTGGCCGTGTTGTGTCATTTTTTCACCAAATTTTAAGAATTTCTGTATAAACTAAAACTACAACTACCCCTTTCCAAAAGAATACTGAGTGTATGGATGGGAGTGAGTTGATGTATTGGGAAGGAGGATATGTTGTTGATTTTAATATACAATTTTGAGTGAGAGAAGAGAGGAAACATAGGGAAGAAATTGTATCTTTGAAAGGTATCAGAAAACCACTAGAGAGAAGACCTGTTTGGGATTTATTTTTTCCTTTTTTCCTGCCTTCAAAGTTGTTATTCAGCTCTTTGGAAGAGAGGAACCTGGCTCATTTTGCAAATGCAAAGCCAGGCTGCTGCCAGGAACCATTTGCAGGAGTGATTAACAAAAACTGTTTGCTTTATGGGATTTCCATGGAGGTAAAATGGTATGCATATAATTTTGGCACAATCAGATAATGCACTGTTAGAGTTAGATGGCAAAAAAAAAGAAAAAGAATTAGTAGGTCTCTTTTAAAAGGGTGTCTCATTAGAGCATGCTTATTGTCTTAGCAGATGTGGCATTTAAATGTAGTGAGCAATGGCCAAAAGCAGGAAGTAATCCTGAGAAATAAATGGCAGTACCCATCCCAGTTTCCTGAATGGAGGTGAAAGTGGTTTGGCAATATTCACACAAGATGATGTTCATTTACGCAGTATTTTTATAATGAAATTAAAGAGAGAAGAAAGGAGTGGCTGTGTGTGCTGGTGAAAATGTAACATGAAAATAGAATAGATTCTAAAGTTGCAAATGAACTGAACCCAGGTGGCACGAGCGCACTGCAAGAAACATTCAGCAGCAGCAAAGCCTGGTGTAAGGGTTTAACTTACACCTTTAGATCTCTGCTCTTAGTGTAATGCATGATGTACTAAAAAAAAAAAAAAAGCCAGAATACTTTAAATTTTTGCTTCAGAATTCAGTCTGGCCAAAGTAAAACCAACATTAATGGGTAAATAGCAATAAAGAAGGAAGGCAGCTATTTAACATTCTGAACAGAGGAAATGAACATCAGCTTTTGATGTTCAGCTTTACTTGTTAAATGTGAAATTCTTACCAAAGCCCAGCCAAGGGCTGACAAAGGGTTTAATCAGCAATATATTCCTACTTAAAGTACTTTCAAGTTCTAAATGGAATTTTAAGAACCTTTTTACAACTATCAGAGCAAAGTGGAATTTTATTTGAGAACAGTATTAGGTAGCATGACAGTTGAAAAACATCTATAAATGTGGCTGAAAAATAGTCTAATATCTGCCCAGCTGCCAATTCAATTTCATGGCAATTTAACAGCAGACTACTATTATGGATATGGTATTGAAATGATTCTGTCTCTGTATTTAATTTTATTGTTAAACTAACATGCAATAAATAATTCTTTGGACTGAGGTGGAGATATATATTCCTTTTTTTAAAGCTCAAAAAATTATTCTCATTGCAAGATAGTATTTATGAGGAAGACACTGAACATCCCTTCTGGGAAGAATGGTGTTGCTGATAGGAAATTACCCATAAAAGTTAGTATAAATCATGTAGTTTTATCTGGATTTATATGTATTATATGTATTCATACAAAAATAGATCTGTATCTCTAATTATCTAGGAGATGAATGTGCAGGACAAACCTCTTGCATGGCCTCCCATCATCATGAAGGACTGGAGCAGAAGGAATCAGATCTTAGACAAGTGTTGTACAGACTCTGGACATGGTCCCATTTCTCTTCTTTTATAGCAAAAACAGCAATGTAAACTTCCTTTACATGACTGACTGTTCTGCCAAAGGGATAGAGTATGTATACCTAAGTGACACAGTATGTATTTGCTGTGGCAAAACTAGTAAAAGAGGCAAGATATTGGAAAATGCCATCTGAAGATACCAAAATATACCTATATGGAGAATATCTTCATTTCAGTCTACCAGGATAGCTAAAACTAAAATAAAGATGATAAGACAAATATTTCTGTATGTGTATATATGTATATAATTATTTTGCAAAACCACCCTTTCAGTTTTCTATGATATATAGGTCAACACAGTTTTGATTAAAGGGAGTATAAATATAATAATTTTTGTCTTCAAGGACTAAGGATTGAAAAACAAAAATTAAGTCCCTTATTTTGCTTTATCTGAAAAGCTGATGGAGTGGTGGAGATGCTCCAATTAATTTGTCTTTGTATGTAGCATATGACATAAAAATCATCTGTTTTCATTATGATACATCAGTATTTTCCACTTGTTTTTACAAAATGTTATACTTTACCATTTGAGGGTATGACACTGCTAGAGCTCATGACACATGATCTGCATTGCAACTCATAATTTAACACTTATTTAAATGCAGTCTAACAGAACTGCAAATTTAACTAGACAGCAGTAAGAAATATTTCCATCAGATTCTCTGAAATGCTTCACAATGAAAGCTGATGTCATCTGCAGTTTTTAAGACAGTTAGATATTGGGTTTGTTACTTTAATAACTTTCCAGAATGAAATCTTCTCTAAGGTGTCATAGTTTGCTCTTTATTTAACTTGTAGCAATTCAATAATCAACAAGTTTCCAATGTCCTTTTATAAAAGCAAAAACATTAGTGTCTTACATAGGAGAATGCTGACCAGACAGTAAAACAGAGCACCATATCAGATTGATCTAAAAAATATTACATTTGTATAGAATCTTAGTGAATTACCCATATCATAGTAGTTATCTTAAATATTCTAAAACTGGTTGTCCTGAAAATTGCCATGTCCTGGATTTGTTTATTCTCCAGTAAGGGCTCATTTCTTCTTTTAATTTGAAGTGAAAAATATTTTACTTCCCAAGAATTTCCCATGTTATACAATCAGCAATCCCAAAAGGTGTTAGTAGGAACAATACATGTAGGTAAGTTCAGAACAGATGCATCACAGTCCAGACCACAGTGCAATATTTTCAGTATTTGTGGAAAGTCTCAATCTTATTTCAGTGCCTGGTAATGTTATGAGGATTATTCAGGTGAGAAACACCCAGAAGACAACTCAGCCACTACAGCTTCATGAGAGGGAAGTCCAGGTTAACAAACCTGATTTCCCTTTATGACAAGGTAGCCCATCTAGTTCATCAAGGGAAGGTGGTCGATGTGATCTTGGATTTCAGCTAAGTTTTTGATAGTGTCTCTCACAGGATTCTTCTGGAAAATTATCCAACACACAGCTGGATAAACACATCATGTGATGTGATGTGATGTGATGTGATGGGATAGCAACTGGCTCACAAAGAGCTATAGTGAAAGGGGTGGCATTGGACTCGGGTCCTGTCATTACTGGGGTTCCACAGGGCTCCATTCTCGACCTTGTGTTCTTCAACATCTTCAGAAATGACTCAAAATGCAGGACTAGAAGGGATACTAAGTGAGTTTGCAGATGATACAGAACTGGGAGGATCTGTCAACTCCCAGAAAGGCCCTGCAGAGAGGCCTCAAAAAGTTAGAGAGGTGGGCAGTGACTGACCATATGGGGTTCAACAAGGGCAAGTGCCGGATTCTGCACCTGGGATGGGGCAGCCCTGGATGTGTGCACAGACTGGGGAATGGGATGCTGGAAAGCAGAGCTGTGGAAAGGGACCTGGGATTTTCAGTTGATAGCAAGTTGATCACGAGTCAGCAGCGCCCTGGCAGCCAGGAGGGCCAGCCCTGCCCTGGGGGGCATCAGGCACAGCATCACCAGACAGGCAAGGGAGTGGGTCTCACTCTGCTCTGCACTGGGGTGGCCTCACCTCGAGTGCTGGGGACAGTTTTGGGTGCCACAAAAAGATATTTTATGGCTTCTTTTTTCTTTTTCTTTCCCTTCCAGAATCTGGTAACCATTTTTTTTGTGAATATGATGGATAAGATATGTGTTCAGTGACGGAGAAGCTGGATGCCCTACAGTGAGTGCTCAAAACATTAGCTTTTATAACTGAATTCTAGGATATCCTGGAATAAATGTATTAATTATTTCTTCAAAGCCAGGTCAAATTCGACAGTAAGAATGGTTCATGCCTCTCATTCTTAGCACTTACCAGTATTCACAGCCAAGGAAAGCTTTCTCTGAGGACATTTTTGGGTGTGATCCCCTAACAGTGGTAAAAACCAGATGAGAGATCTTGCTGCTAAGCCATTGTGCCAAAGATGAGATCCATTACAAGTGTTTTTTTTTGAAAAGGAAAGCAGTTTTGTTCAGCTTGTAATTAAAAAATACCATTTAGATTGCTTAGGCTTATGTTGAGAACATTTAATCTGTACTAGCCATTCACATTGTCTGTGGTTTTGATTACAAGAGTATTTGAGATCTTGGGATTGAGTGTATTTTCTAATTTAGAAAATTGCTTCAGACATATTGCATTTCTGAATAAAAGTAAAGGTTCCTGCTTAACCTAGTAATGTTTGTTTTGGCCCTAATAGTTAGAGATCAAGGAAAGTTAATGAATTACATGTTAATGATCAAGTGGATACAGAGGAGAGCTACAAAAATGATTGAAGGTCTGGAGAACTTCTGCTACGAGTAAAGGCTCAGAGTTGGGGTTGTTCAGTTGCAGAACAGAAGGCTCTGTGGAGACCTTATAGCACCTAAAGAGACCTTACAAGAGAGCTGGAAAAGGACGTTTTACCAGGGCATGTAGTGGCAGGACAAGGAGAAATGGCTTGAAGCTGAAAGTAGGTTTAGAATAGATATTGGGAAGAAATTCTTTATTGTGGTAACAACAAGGCACTGGAACAGGTTGTCCAGAGGAGTTGTGAATGCCTCATCCCTGGAGGTGTTCAATACTGGTCTGGATGTGGCTCTGTGCCACCTGATCCAGTGGAAGAAATCTCTGTCCATGGCAGGGGGTTGGAACTAGATGATCTTTAAGGTCCTTTTAAACACAAACCATTCTGTGATTCTATAGAAGACTGACAGCTTATTTAAAATAAAATGGGATTGACTAATCACTAATTGCCAGCTAATTATTTTTGAAATGTGGAATATCAATATTAAAAAGTAAGTCCTTCATAAATATTTATAATAATTTAAAATTAGTAGGTATTTCCCTTTTTTTTAAAGAGAGCTTTAATTTTCCTTTTCAAGTTGAACACGTAGGACACTTTTTATTTATTTTATTGAAGATACGTATGTAAAAAACCAGAGATTTAGGTATATATTAAGGAACAAAGAAGCAAAGACTTTCTCTGGGGAAAAGATCTTTTTCTGAATTAGATAGAAGCATATATCAGAAGATTTATTTGACAATATACCTTACCTCTGTATTGGGTGATTTGCCAAAGCTAGACTCCAGATTTATGAACCAGGAAAATCAATTGCATTGATGTTTTGTGTAGATTTTAAAAATAATTTATCCTTCTGAAATAGCCATGTTAGGTTTGTATGTACTCATCCAGTAGCTAGTTCAGTCTTTGTCAGTGCAAGCATTCTTGAAATTTAATTCTTGCCTTCTAGGTTTAACTAAACCTCCTAAATGCAATCAGATGATAAGCACAGTTTTCATGAGACTGACAATAGAATGTTCATCTCTGTCACACTTGTAACTCATATATTTCTTAGTGTGTCTACTGAGACAATCTAGGGAATTTCTTAGAGGAAAAAAACCCCATAGATTCTCTTAATCTAAATCTATGGATATAGTGTAAATCATATGCTATACAGCTTCCCTGTGTGATGCACTGGAAGCCCAGAGCTAACACTGAAGTCATATGGACTGGAGAAACCTTTCTGCTTATTGTCTAAAGCCAGGCAAAATATATTTATAGGAAATAACCAGAGGCAGTGGGAAGATGTCTACAATACTAATACAATCAGAATTAGAAAACTTAAAAAAAACCCCAAACACCCAAAACCCTCCTAATTAAGAAACATATTAATTTCTCATTGTATTAGGATTCTTAATTTTGTTTCTCTTCTGTTGACTACAGATCATCCAGGACAGACTGGAGATTACATTCACACCCATCTGATTAACCCAGCACATTTTGCATTTGTATCATGCATGGGCAGGTAGATATGGAAGGTATGACAACCCTTGGAAACCATGCTGTAGTATTCAGCTATCTGCACATTTCTCAGAGGGAGTTCTCCATATTGTGAAGGAACAAAATATGTTGAAGCTGAGATCTGTTGAGATGCCTCTCTAGGAGACAAGTGCTGCTCTTGAGGTACCTGGGTTTGATACTGACATTGGTAGTCAAGCAGAAGGCTTGCTTGGTGTGAGGCAATTTGAACAAGTAAGGAGAATAAATTGGTCCCTTAGGTAATATAGAATCCAAGTAGTGCTCATTTCAGTGAAAGGAGCCAGGAAAAAGAACAAAGGATATTTGTTGAGACAGAAAAACAGATGCAATTATCTATTTTTTACATAATTGTCATGTCAGATTTATAAATTTATACATTCCCTTTTGACAAGAAGTTGCAATGACTAGCCACATTATTTTCTTACAGTGCTCAGAAGTAAACTGCCAGTTTCAGGACAGATCTTGTCACAACTGCCTGGAAAAGAAACACATTACCAACTACAGTACAAACGCATACTACCATAGGATTTAAAATTTTTATGTGCATAAGGTGCAATCCAATTTCTTTTCACAACATAATGGTATAATGGTCATAGATTTAAACCTTTTGGCAGTTATAAGACAGATTTTTTTTGTTCTGTATAGTCCACAAGATCTCTCTTACAGAGAAATAATAATAAAAAAGGGTTTAAAGATCTCAAGAGAGGTTTGAGAACCTTTTGTTTTCTATAAAATTCGAAATTTTCAACAAATAAAATGTTTGTATATTGCCTGACCAAACTGGTAAAAAATAAATTGCTTTACTTGTTTTGTGATTTCCCCAGATATTCTGTGTCTCTAGTGAAGAGCTGAAGTGTTTGTTTTTCTGGGGAGTGGCACCAGTTGTGACCCAGTTGATTGTATGCACTCTGTACCTTCTCAGGTGGCCTCGCTTTATTGATTTGGTGTTTGAGAAGTCCAAACGCTAATGCTCCTAATGATCAGCCATTCTTTTTGACTTTTAGTGACAAGTATTCTCATGCAGTTAATATCAAACAGAACTTTGTGCTCTACATCTGTTATTTCAAAATTCCCATTTTTGAACTCCCCTAGTCTCAAGTAAGTTGTACATTGTCTTCCTTTTTTACTGCCTACAATCTTTTCACCTACTTCCAGGGCCCCGTGATGTAAAATGTCATTTTGCCGATCTTCAGTTCCAGTGACAACTTTAATTTTACTGATTTTAATGGGCTTTTCAAATACAATCCCATAGAAGTCTCCAGTAGAAGGAGCCTTGCCCCAGAAGTACTCATCAATGCTGCTGTAAGCCTTGCTTGCCTCATAGTTCTCAAATACATTCATATTGGTGTGCAAGTTTGCAGGTGGGTTGTCAGGGATATCAAAGGACTCCTCCTCAAAATCATCATCCTTTAACTTATTTTCAGCTCCTTTGTAAGATGAGTAGTATCCCATGTGCTGGAAGAGAGATGGCTTAAAACGTATCACTTCCTTTTGAGCTAACAGCCCACGAAAGTGGATGAGCAACCAATCGCAAGGCATTTCTTGGTAAAACATCAATAGAAAATGGGCCAGGCGTGGTAGGTCATGGGAATGGTAAAGCTTTCCAATGTACCCCAGCTTGGAGAATTCCAACGTCACCCAGTAGGATCCTTCTCGTGAGGTAATTACTTTCTTAACAGCAGTCAAAAAATTCTTTGAGCAGCGAACATCATCTTCCAGCATCACATAATAGTCAGAAAGATTAGCACAAAAGTTTAGAAGGAAAGCATAATCTACATTTTGTTTTGATCGGAACTTCACACGGTCCTCGGGGTCATTGTAATTTCTCTTAAGGCCATCCAGTACAGGATAGTAATCCTCAGGGACGTGAATAACTATTAATCTGCCCGCAATTATGTGATGTGCAAATTTCTGTGAAATATCCTGGACCATCCCTTCACACCACGCTGAGTCAAAATCTGCCAGCTGTACTACCACTGCAATTTCTTTGAGTTCCTCATAGCTTGACTGCTCAAATATGGACTTGATGGTCTCAAGCAAGTAGTTTCCTTTTCTCCGTTTTACAGAGGATAGTCCAATTGTAAGATACCCTGTACAAAAGACAGTTCAAACAAAAACTGAGAATCTGATATTGGAAGCAATTTTATCACAAAGATATTCTCCAGAGTTGTGTTTATATTAAATAAACCTTGTGAACGGTGAAGACTGAGAAATTTGGTATGTGAGTTTATTGAGCTGCATGCGACAAAGGACCTTTATTGCCTTTTCATTAGGAGGTGTGATATTGTGAGCAAATGGACATATGGAGACTAGTGTGTTAAACATTCACTTGTTTACTGCCAGGAGTAGCACACTGGGGACAAATGCCAAATCAGTGTATATGTTTATGCCTTGTAGACAAAACCACACATACAATGATAAGGCTGTAAATCTGCCAAAAGAAAGGGGATTGTGAGGGGATTATTCACACCATATTTGGAAAGCAAGGAACTACCAGATGCAGCACTTTTATCATTTTAGCCCTCTAAAAGTCTAGTTACATCTCTGCATAACTTTACAGTTTTATGAATTTTGCATGGATAGTAATTTCTCAGTGTGTTCATTTTTAGGTGAATTTGTCTAGTTTTTCCTTGCTAGTAGTTTTTCTTCTAACCCTCTTTCAGGACTCATCAAGCATTTAAAAGGAAACACTCTTCAATTTAGATATTATTTTAAAGTAGAAGAGAACTTCTCTCCTTGCTTGTACAAATATTTTTTTAATGCTGTTACATTCTTTCTAGACAGAGATATATCTTATAAAACATGAAGTTTCATTTCTGCTGTTTTGTAGTCACTGTCATTGTATTCCTACCAGCATTCCAAATTAGGATTTTTTTCAGATGTTTGCTAATATATCTCTATTTTTGTAGCTTCTCATGTAAAAATTGTTAAGACTGTGTAATTGACAATGTGTACCTAAGTATTGAACCTACTCCAAATTTCTTAAAATATAGTCATTTATAAAAGACTGCTTTGATAGTGATTCAGGGTTTCCCTTGAGGCTTAAGTCTGCTCAAAATGAAGTGGTACAGTGAAGCACAACCCCCAGAAGTAATTTACACTGCATACAGAGACATTAGATTTTTCAAATTTAATCTGAACAGACTTTATAGCTTTCTGCAACTCACGTATTATTTTATTTTACCTTCTGGACTTGGACTTCAGGGTTTTGTTTATGTATGTGAAATGGTTGATTTGGAACCCAAAGGACACCTAGGTATGGCCATATTTCACTTTTAGAGGAAAGTCTTGAACCATGTGTGAAGAATAACTAAATAGTCCATCTGCAGGTGGCTGTGAGAAGAATCCTCCTTTACTGTCCTGATAAGAGCACAGTTCTCCTTTTTAGCACAGCTAAAGGAGCAAGGAGGTCCATTTGCAGCTACTGGGCTGGCAGGATAGTGGACCTGAGGGGTGCATCTGTGTTATGCCAAGCATACTTAAGATTGGATTTACCAGTTATACAGAGATTGACAGTGTGCTCTCAGAGAGTGGTTGCAGAACACCACCAGCATGTGCCTTGCTTCTGCTTCCTAAATCATCTTCCTCTTGCCTGGGAGGAGATCCTTGGAATTATGCTCCCAAAGACCATCCAAGGGCTGCCTGCAGGACATCTACAAGTCAGGCAGAAGGTAATCAGGCTGCTAGGTCTGGACTAGAGGCCGCGCAAGAATGGCCACTAACTCTCTTGGGACTGTCACTGCTTAACTCAGCCCCTGTTGCATGGAAATACCACAGGGATTATATGGATTTCACACCTTTTTAAATTGCCTCATTTTGCAATATTCAAATTGCAGTTACTTACTTTTCCTTGGCAAAGGTGTGCCAGCTAGGTAGCGATAGGAAATGTTTATAGATCCTGAGAAATTAGACAAATCTTTAAAACTGTGAACATAACGCTCTGGGTTGAGCTGGTGCGTGGCTGTCTCTCTGATTAATTGCTTGTCCCCTTCCTATTAGCAGGAAAACACAAATAACAAAAAAAGGGAGAGAGAGAGAGAAATACATTTGTGAATGTCAGTTAGAGAGGAAACATGGACAGGCAGGTTTCCAAGAATAACATTTTTCAGTTTCAGCTTTCAGGAAAGCATGTAGATGTCACCTCATTTAAAACAAAAACAAACAAGCAAACAAAACCCCCCCAAACCAACAGGCATTATTGAATACCATACATTTTGACTACAGAAAATCTACCATAAACCTTCAGATTACAGTAAAAGAAAAAGAAAAAAAATATTTTGCATAAAACTCTGGAAGGGTAGCAAATATTAAATTATTGGCCAAAAAATGTTGTGGTATTCAAAAGAGGGATAAGAAAATATCACTCAGCAACAGATAGGATAACTTTCACAGATGTAAAAACACAGAAGATTTTAAAAAAATGTTTCTAGTGATTAAAAAATATACCAAAACTGCTGCAAAGGAAAGAAATCTAGATCCTGGCATCTGGCTCATTTTGACATTTTTCTGAGAAGCTTTGACTCAGGTTTGCATGTGATCATGCAGACAGTAAAAGTTTCTCTGAATTCGGAGAACATTTTTGATGGCATAGTCAAAATGTACATTTATCACCACACCTCCTCTTCATTCCTCCTTCTTCAGTCCTCTTCCAAGAGGCTTCCCTAGTGATAGTAAAGGCACAGAAGGGAAAGAGTGGCTTCATCAGTAGTGCCCTACCCATAATGTCACTTGGGCCTCAGGGAAAGTCTGCTCCTCAGTCCTTAAGAAAAGAGAAAACATCTAACAGCTCATGAAGACTGTATTTAAAAGTAGGAATGCTTATTTAATTTATCTGGCTTGATTTTAGTCTGATGACAGGCACATGAATGAATGAGTTTGTTTCTTCTGATGTATGCAATATGTTAATGCACTAAAACTTTGGGATCTGTCATTAAATGGGAGCATTGTGCAGTAATAGTACTGCTGCTAACTGAAACAACCACAGGAACTGTAAACAGTGCTCATATTTAATGGCATAAATATTAAAAAATGTGTCAAAGCTATATTTTATAGCACAAATAAATCTTTCTGTCAACTGATCCTACATTCATTTATAGTTCACTGTTTTTTCTTGCATAGAAGTAGTAAAAAAATCCACTTCTGAGCTTAGTTAAGATCTTTGGCAGACATCCAGGGGCATTTACCTGCACTGTTATGCTCTCTTGATCTTCAGTGTCTCTTAAGTAATTTCTCTCAAGTGCTTATGTACCACTTTGCATTTGGTCATAAATTATGAGAGGAAGTTTGATGATCAAGTTCAAGATTAAAATGTAACTTAATGATCTTGAAAGAAAATACACCAAAACTTGAGGAGATTTTCCATTAAAAATATCAGGTGGAAAAGAAAAAAGGCTGGTCCAAAAACTTTCTTTTTTCAAAACCTTTCTTTAGTATCCGAGAAGCAAACAAAACACTGTGTTATGGGTTCCAGAATGGAGCACCAAAATTCTTTGTTTCGTAAGGTCTTGGAATGGAAACTTATTCTGCTGGCTGAGGTTTTGCTACATAAAATTTTTAGAAATAGACAATGTCAGAAGAAAATGTTTTGATTTTAACAAGCAAAATATCTAAACTGACCACAAATATTTTCCTTTTTTTCCCCCTCTTTAATAAATGGCTTTTGTGGCTAACATTTCTTTTTAATAGCTGCTCTTTCATTCTTTTGTTGAATGATGTGCAAAACAGAAATCTGGATTTTTGCAAAAGATTAAAATCTGTTTCTTCTATCTCTGACTATGTAGAGGTCAGTGAAGCAGAGGAACTTGATTAACTCTTTCTGGTTTTCTTCTCTAGCTTTTTCTAGAATGGTTTTGGCTTTCTTCTGTTAACTAAACTCTAACTTGCATTCCACTGTTTGCTGGGAGATTCATGTGGGTGCCATAGGATGAATGGAAGTTCTCCACCCTTTATGAGGATGCCCTGCTCTGCCAAGGATGCTGTGTCAATTACAGCAGTGTAATTCTTTGCATATTGCCCAAAACAGTGATTAGTATTCATAGAAGAGCACAGAACACATGCTTCACTCACAATACACTTACAACTCTGAGTAGGTAGAAGACTCCCTTGTGAATTTTGTGATATCTGGTATATTTTAGCTTATTATGTCTTCAAAATGCTTGATCAAATGCAGTTCATACATTGCAGATGAAACACCTTAAACTGCTTTTCTAATACACATGTATCAGCACTGCATACTGCATGCCCTCCACGCAATGAACTTCAGTTATTTTGCCACATGGGCCCTTACTTTCCATTTCTGCAGCAAATGCCCTGCAGAAAACAGTGAAGGGATTCTCTGGATACGTACGACCCTTTGAGGAAAACCAGAAAGTTTCTCTTCTCCCTTCTTAAGGTTTACCAAAATGAATGTCGTTTTAATACTCTAAACCTTTGAAAAAGACGCTTGTGTCACATCTGGTGCCAGAGACACCCGCACCACGAGCCCTTGCACAGCCTGCTGCCTGAGACTGGGATGGGGGAACTCTGGGTCAGTTTTCTTCCCTCTAACAGCTACCCTCATCCAGCAGGAGATTGGCTGCAATTTAGGGCTCTGAGGACTTTCAGATTTTCATTCCCTGAGGGAAACTGGTTAGCCTGCTGTGCTCAAAAGCTTTTCCCAAGTCTATTTCTCTTCACCACAAACAGTGAAATTGCTCATCTTTTACCTCAGCAGAGAAAACACACCAGACAGGGTGTGTTTGGAGCTGTCAGACAGGGTCAGGAAGTTTGAGAATAAAACTAAATAAATAAGTTGAAAAGTCAACATCCTAACACACTTGAAAAACACTTGATGGACCATAAAGGTATCAAGAGACCTGGAAGAACTCTCAGGAGACTTGGCAAGAGACTTGGCTGAGAGCTGCATGAATGCAAACATGCCAGAACTGTGATGAGAGAAGCAATGAAAGAGAGTGAATTTATAAAAGGTGGCGGGGAGGGGAAAAGAGAAATTAAGAAAAAGACATGGAGCCATCTGGGGAGCTGGCAAATAGGCAGGAAGATTTCAAAAACAAGCCAAGAGGAACACCATTAGCAGTGATAATAAAAACACTTTCAGAAACATCTGGGGGACTTTGAAGCAATTAGTGAACAGAGAAGAAACATTAGGGAAAATGCCAATAAGAAGAAAAAGTGATAAGTCAGGTCAAATTTAATCATAACCGAGAAAAGTTAAATAAATAAAAAAGTGAAAAACCTTTGTGGTACACAAAGAAATATGTCTGTAATGGAGTAACATGCTACAAGAACGGGCTATCTTTTCAATGGCCTAAAAAAGTACTAGCATAATATTAATATTGTAAATATTTACAGTACTGTTATAACTAATTTTATAATTATAATATTTTAAATTAAAATAATGATGACTGTATATATGGTTCTGATAAACAACATAAGGATTTTACTGCTTGTGTATTACAAGTTTTGATATACTATCATGTTTCTTTTCAGATGCAAATGAGATCAGAATTCACCCTTCAAAATATTGGAAAATCCATACTGTCCCCATTCAATTCAAGATAAAGACAGCACTATCTAGTCATATCACAATATAACAAATTCTGTTTAGCCATTTTACTACTTGCAAGATTCAGTTTTAAACCACTATGACTTTTTACTGGGCCCAGTCCAATCTCCAAAGAACTGGAAATTCAATCCATTAATTGAGTCTCCAGGGCTCACTTGGCATTCAGCACTGAAACACCCCTAGGTTACACATGAACCGTAGAGTTGTGCTATGTTGCCAGTAGCTTATTTGTTGAAATTCCTACATAAATATTTCCACAATTTTTTCCAAAATCATAAACTCACATTAGGTTCCATTTGTCTAATTTTTAATGCTGTAGTACTGAACCCATCAGACTAAAATCTGAGTTACAAAAGGTAGGAAACACACAAAATAAACTCACTAAAATGAAATTATTTATGCAAGGAGCCTAAAGTAGATAAAATCGGTGTAAATTTTCTTTTATAATTTTATTTCTATAATAGCATTTAATGCAGTGTTCAGAGGTGAGATTTGCAGTGTATACAAAACATGTTGAAAAACAGCTCACACAAATAGTTCAAATGTAGTTTATCGTCAACAATTTACTGTTTTACTCGGGGTGTTTTACTGTTTTGTTGTTTCAGGATCACTTCTTTGCAACTTACCAAAACATAACTATCCTCAATGTACAAGTTCATGAAGAGCAAGCAAACAACAAGGATTCCTAAGAACGACACTGCTGATCGTTTCCGCAAGCATCTCATTTTATCAAAATATTTCAAGTTGTGTCTCGTGAAGAACTGCATACGGTAGTGTCACCTATGAATAAAACCACAGTATTACAAGAATGGTTCACCTGATATGCATGACAACAACTAAACTTACCTTCAGATGTATCAAATCCCTTCAAACATACATAGATTGCACTTTCAGGCAGAATTAACTTCATTTAAGCATTGTCATGTTAAGGTTTAATATGCAATCTTAACCATAAACTAAGCTTCCTTTTTTTTTTTTTTTTTTTTTTTTTGGTGTCAATAAAGAAAAAACGTGCACCCACTGTCATACCCATTTTAAAGTGGGCTTATGATGGATGTCACTGTGGCAGGAGTGCATCAACAATTTAGTTTGCTATGCTTAACTGTCAGATCCCAGCTTGGTGGCTGGAGATGATGCTGTGCTTTGTTCCCCCATGTACCTGTGTCTTCTCCCAAGGACAGGCCAGGTCAACAGGCAAGGAGGAAATTATTGCCTGACTCAGTGTTGTTACCAATAGAAGAATTCTGTATGCTAAATACAGGTAAGGCACAAATAAGATACCTTCCCTGAAGAGAAAAAGTACTCACAAGACTGTACAATATCAATTAGAGTTTTCCGTCAAAGTACAGACACCCAAGGTTAAGTGGAAGTACTATTTCCATCTTCAGAAGAATGGTGGGTCTCCAGCCCAACCAGACACACCTAAGCAGAGTATTGGGAAATCCTTACCAACCTGATTAGATAAATCAAATAAGGGTGACACAGAGATCATGAAGCCCCTCAATATTTCTGGTCAAGATCAAGAAGGAGGACTGTCTGTCATATTCTAATGTTGCATATTCATTTTAGTAATTTTACTCTGGAGAACAAGATGAACTCTGTTCTTGTCCACCAAATTAGTGTTACACAGTAACACTAACCTGTGTAGGACTGTATGTGTTTGAACAAGATTTGGCCCTAAATTAAAAATCTCACTGCCCAAAGTCTGAGGGATTATGAACAAAACAGCTGACTATAGACTTATTACTTATGTATTAAGTTCTTACTCATATTTTAATTATTTTCCACAGCAATTCATCATTTTTCAATTGAATTTAATGTATAGAAGTTATATACAAACAAAGACTTTAAAGCTAGTCTATGTGAAGTAGTAAAAAATATGATACATGCAATGGTTAAACCCTGCACCTAAATACCTTCATTTTTAAAAATATTGACCATCTACAATGATACAAATTAGGACATATTAGGAGTTCCATAAATGATTTGTCATGTCACACAGAAAATTTTCTGTCCTAATAATAAAAAATCTACCAAGCACAAAATCCAATGCATATTTCTTTTGCCAAACTGAATAACCACATTTAACAGTATAAAATTTGAGTCCATTATACTCCAGAGAAGCAGGAGGTAAATATATCAAATATTTGTAATGCAATTAGTAATTGCAAGGAATCTATAGATTTGAAATGAACTGCAGTAAATGGACACTGGTTGTACACAGAATGCTTTTATATTCACTATGCTGAGAGTAAAACCAATTTACAGGTTGCATGAAGAAAAAAAAGGAATCAGTAACAATATACATTTTTGTCTGTCTTTATTTAGGGTGAGCTGAATTAAAATACCTTGATTATTCTGAAGCTGAAAACCCCAGTGTAGATATTTTTTAAAGTTACATCAAAGATTTTGTTTTTCCTAATATCTAAGCACATTGAAAGTAAACCTCAGGAAGGAGGTGCTAAGGACATGAATCTCTAAACACCAAGCCTCCCTGTACCCCTACAACTCCCTGTGACAACACAGTTATTGCTAGTTGTCTGTGGATACAGCAGGCTGTTGCGGAAATGAAAGGTTGCCCCTGTTTCAGAAAATACTGTGTTACACATACAATTTGGGTTTCACTTTTATTTCACTCTTTTTTTTTGTTGTTGTTCCCTTCTCCCCTGCCCCCTCCCTTCTTCTCACAGTACAATGACTGATTTTCAAACCACTTCACTCTTTTAAAAACCAGTCAGAGGATCACTGGATGGTTTAAATACTGACACTTCTCATATTAGTGGCATTAACTATTCTGACTATTGAAAATGCAATTAGTCTGGGTTAGAGTCCTTGCAGTTGCTGTCAACATATTACATTTCCCTTGGGTTTAAAAAACCAAAACAAAACAAACCAAAAACCAACAAAACTTGGAAATAAATACATAAATGTGTTTTTTTCAGTCACAGGATGAATATATGTGACATATTTGCTGTCTGGACTGTGGTGCTACACAGGTCCCCCATCTTTGCCCTGAGCCACCTGTCTGAAGTCCCCAAGGGTGAGGAAGGGGCTCAGAACCATACTTTCTGGTCATGCTGTATGATATCATTCCTACGTTGGGTTAGGAATAAATATAGAGGGAATTCCATAGGTGAGGCTGGAGGAACTGTCATGACCAGGACTGATGTACGGAGAGAGGAGGGCACAGTGTAGTCAGCGCCCAGAGGAGACTCCCATTGCTAGCGCTGGTGGCACACGACGCCTTTACATCTCTGTTTGCACGTGGAAACATCTGGAAGCACAACATCGTGCCGGGGGCTCTTTGCTCATCCGATCCGATCTCTTGACAGGTCCATGCCAGGTAAAGGCAGGGAGGGCGGGTCCCGTCACGGAGGAGGCGGTGGCACCGCTGGTGACAACAGCAGGTGGCAGCGCAGGCTCGCCCGTGCCAGCCCAGCCGCTGTTGCCGCTATGCCCAGCCCGAGCTGGGCTGGAGGCGCTGCTTGACATCCTTACACCGTAAGCCCTTGGCTAAGAACGAGCCCAGCATCGTCCATATGTCCTCACATCTTCCTCTGGCATCTCTGTATCCAGTCTGTGCATTCCATTTTTTCCTTTTTATTTTTTTTTTTTTCAGGTTATGTCATTCACTTTTTCAAAAACAGTCTCAGAATTTCCTGCAGTGAGACCTCTGATTTTCTTTAAGACCATTTGAGCAGAACATTCACCATTACTAAAAATCTTTGATATTGAAAAAAAGGTTCCAATTCATAATTCAATTCTGAAGGTGCAGCTTTGCTTGAAGATTTTATGCCTTCATTATTCATGCATAATTAAGTAGCTATCAGAATGGTATAAATGCCGTTTGTTTCATAAAGCTGGCATGAAGCAGTTAAAATTATTAATAAACATGCATAAATTATAAATCTTTTCCATTCTAGATGAGATGTGTGGCTTTTCTCAGTCTCTAGAGAGGGAACTTGTAAGATCACAGACCTCTATGCACATGTATGAGCTGCTATCAGACACATATGTGCAGTTTTACATGGTAATGTAAAATTGTAACTCCTTTGACTTTTTAAAACAACACACAGTGAAGAGGTGGTGAGCCAAAAAATGCAATTACATACTTTTACAGCGAGTAGATGCTGTTCTTTATAGGATCTACAAAGGTGTGAAATCTGTGTAAAATGTCAAGAATTGTTTTTCACATGACACTGCAAAGTTTTCTCGTGCAGAATTTGCGACACTCAGAAGAATTTTAACTTTTTTTTAAAAAAAAGTAATCCCAAATGACCATCAAGAAAGACTGTTTTTAATAAGGCAAGTCCTTGAAACCAAAAATGGAAATGAAAATATTTAAATTTATGTCTATTAAAATTTTAAAACAAATTTTGGTTTGGATTTCAATATGGCTATTCCCAAGAGAAAAAAAATTACATAAAGCAAGGAGTTATTTTCCTTTATTTTCCTTTTTTCAGAGAAAAAGACTTTTTGCCATTCATAGAATGATTTCTCTAATTCATGTACACTCACTCTGGTAAACAATTTTATATTTGATCCATTCTAATTCTTCATCACTTTCTGATAATACTAAGGATTTGTGCTTTGTCCTGCTTTTAGAGATTATCACTTAATTTCCTTACATATTTCCTCCATAAACAGATACACAAAAAGGCTCTGTGGTGTTACTTTACCCTTAAGGTTACCTGCACATGTTAAGGACTTAGCCTTACCCTTAACCAGTACAGTTAATTTGTTTGTATCTACAGCTGTACAGGCCTGGAGCAACAAGGTCATCTTCCTATTATATTCTGGTCTGCTTCAGTGTTGTGCCCCAGCAGCTAAAAAAATAGTTGCTTATTTAGAGAGGCACTGGTGGCTGTGAGAAATGGCAACTGAATTATTTTAATATTTTAATATTTTAAAATGAGACAGGTAGATTTACCTGCCACTGTAGAGTCCATATTCCAGGAGGTGGAGCTGATCCACTGCCACATTTATTATATGAGATAATACAAAAATATCTTTCGATTATTAAAACCCTTGTGAATCTTATTGTAATTCCTGATTTGACAGAGACACTCAGAAGCAGGCACTTTATTCCTCAGCTTTGTGATATACCATTCTATCACTTACTGAACTTCTTTACTTGCAGTTCTCAATGTGTTTTTCATTTTTTCTTTTTGGAAGGCTGCACACAATACCTCAAGAATTACATTCAGTTATCTTTATAAAGTCACAAAGGAAACACTTCTAAAAAAAACGAAAGGGAAAAGCCCCAAAACAAATCAGATTTTTTACATGGTTATTATTAAATTTTGCATGCACCATGATTTTCTTATGCAAGAATAACAAAAATGAACCCTAAATTGTGATGTAGAATTGAGCTACAGAGGGTAGTGTACTAGAGCATTGTAATGGATAGGTTATTCCATAGGGCTCAGATAGACTCCTAGGCACATCCACTGCCTTACTGAAAGCCTGAATGTACACATAAAATGTTTAAGGCTGACAGGCAGGATGTTCGCTGCCACTGGCAGCAGGGGAATAAAAACTAGTTTGAAGGAAAGTTAAGTTTAACTCAGAATGAGGCTAACAAATCCAGAGGAGTTCAGGTTTTAAACTAATCATAAGTAGATTGTGTGGCTACACATGCTTAAATAAATGGTTTAAAGATGATTATATCGTCTGAATTCTGAGTTCTAGATACAGGAGGTTAAAAAGTGGAGATATATTAGTAGGCAGATTACTCAAAAGTGGCACTGAAGAAAGGATGGGCTAAAGAAGTAGGTTTT